CAAATCCAATTAAAACTTTTAAACGCGGTCAAGATTAAATTGATCTGTCCATCTTGTAACAACTGTAACTGAAAGGGTACGTTTGCCTAAGATCATGAAATTGATCAGGCCTATTGATGATCATAATAATGATAATATAAATACAAGTAATCATAATCCACGTTATAATAATACAAAAATAAGATCTAATGCTGTTTCCCCCCAAAATGGGAAACGTTCTTTTTATATGCAGATGTTGCAATATTTCTACAAGTTTCAGAGTAAATTCCATCAAAGCACGTGTTGTCTTTCCGACTGGACGTGTATTCATCGTGTGTATTCATATTCATCGATCCTCTCACACCTGCTCAGATGCGATTTGTGGCGAAACAGGTCCTTTACGGAAATGTATTTAGATCTAAAGGATCGAGTAAAGAGGAAATGCTGATTAACGAATGAATGAATCTCACGTTCTCCCTCATCATAAAGTCTTAAAATATAATTCATAACTTGCAGATCTAATCAGAGAATTCATTCCGACTATTAAATAACTATTGATCAACTGTTACATAAAACGGCATATTTAGCCTAACATAATAGGATAACGAGATAACACATTTTCTTATGGGCCTACATAGGCTTAAATTTCTTCAAAGGTCATAGAGACTCTTAAAGACTTGCTTTTAACGGTGACTGGCTGTTTCGACCTGCTTCCAATTTAGCCTCTAAAGTCATTATATTGACACTTTTGAAAACAGGCCTACTTTCATGATGGCATCTTCACATCTGAGTCGTTTCAACCATTTTATAACAACTCGTGTTTTTGATGTGCAATATTTCAATTCATTAATTCACTCATTTTCTCATGCGTTCTTTTTTAACGACTGTAGCTGATATGTTATAGGTCTAGGACTGTGTTCAAACACATTTCTATTTCATACGTCTCCATCTAGTGGCAATGAGCAGCAGCAAACTCGATGTTGCTCTTCAGGTTGCTCAGTATTTTTAAACGAAGCAAATATTTTGACACAGTGAGTACCGTCCGTAAGTATCAAATGTCATTTCTTCCACAACCTCAGTGTGAACGTGCTCTGTCTAAAGCTTTCAGTGCTGTCAAAGCTGTCACCTTCATGTTCCAGTTAACATCTGACCAACCTGAGCCCTCTAGTGGAAAAGAAACGTTATAACAGACACATTTGTTATAACACGTTATAACGAGATTTGCATATTAGTCCCAAATACTTCACAAAGTTACTGACAGATTCCTGGATTGTGAATGAATTAGTAAACTGAAGAATCATGTTTGTAATGAAGAGAGCTGCGTTGCCTTGAGATATGCATCGTGAACTCAAATGACACGAACAACGACACAGTCACAACATCTCTGGTGGAGGAGAAATATGAAACAGACAAAAATGTTTGAGGTTCTGCTTCAGAGTCCAGCTAACAGAGCTTGAACAGGGTGAGGTGTTGTTTAGTCATGGATTGCAGTATATGGGCACAGTGTCAGCTCTATTATTCCAGCCATGAGAATGGAATATGATTAATATTGCCCCCAGGTGAGTATGAACTTAGCGAACCTTCACAATTTTTCCTCCTTACTCAACATGACTACCGGTTCATGTTGACAAAGTTTTTCTAAAACTTCTTGACATTTGGGTCATTTAGATATACATACGCTGCAAAGGGGTGATTATTTTTATTATTATTATTTTTTAATTACGTTCCATGAGGACCACTTATAATGTGATATATAAAAAATTATGTTTATATGTATATAATATATGTTAAAAAGTGGCAATTTTCTACCTTGTTTTTGTCTGTTTTCAATACTCCTTTAAAAGGGGCAAATCTCCTTTAAGGTGCTCTTCGGTCACTTTTGACCGAAAATGTTTCTGTTTTGAAATAGGCCTTTTATATAGAGCTATATAGGAATCTATGGGCTAAACCATGGAATTGCAGATGTTTTTCTTATTTTACTCCCACCAGATGGCACTAATCAGGCTTCAAAAATTGGATTTTAAAGGCATTGACTCTATTTTAACATGAAAAAACATGAAAATTTTGAAATACCATTTTGTTTACAATTACTGGGATTAACTAATTGTGGAAAAGTCTGGATTTTTACAGTATATCTACCCCATCAAATATTACTTTGAATACTGTTTTTTTTTTTTTTGCAGCATTGAGCAATGGCCAAATTTTTGTTCAGCATGTGCTCACATACACTCACTATTTCTCTCATTATAAACAACAAAGTGCATAAACAATGAAAATATGAGATTTATATGGAGTGTAGACAGTTTCAATGATTATAATGGAAGAGAGCAGAACTTGCGCCTAACTATAGGGATCGACATCTCCAGCGATTATAAAGTGAACATTCTTTTGTATATAATCACAATTTAAATATCAGTTATTTTTTATGCTACTAAAAATGTGAACACGACTGTTCAGTCAATGGCTTGATTTTGCCGATGCATAGATATAATGAGTCTTCATGAGTCTTTACATATCAGTCATTTATCACAGATCAGGCTTCAGAATTAACACGGCTATAAGTGTTGTTGCATTATGTACTTTTCCTTTCACTAAAAGTGTGACCATTTTGTTTACAATTACTGGGATTAACTAATTGTGGAAAAGTCTGGATTTTTACAGTATATCTACCCCATCAAATATTACTTTGAATACTGTTTTTTTTTTTTGCAGCATTGAGCAATGGCCAAATTTTTGTCCAGCATGTGCTCACATACACTCACTATTTCTCTCATTATAAACAACAAAGTGCATAAACAATGTAAATATGAGATTTATATGGCATATTTTCCCTGGTTTCACAGCTTTGAAATGCACAATCTCTCGCCCTCAATCGTTTTTTTGCCCATCTTTTACTTTTTCTGTGGGTAACAGAGGGACCTTGTGTCAACATCATGGTGTTTTCACGCGCCTATTCTGACCTCACCGAGACCATTATGTCATGTGGAGAAATGCAAAGTCAAGGTGGTATCCAGGAGAGTAAGTGCACTGGGTGGGCCAGACCTCCACATTAAGTGCACGTCATCGAACCTTCCTCCTTCCAAGTTCTGTTTCACCACCTTTACCTCATATAGCAGGTCTTCATTTTCAGTCCAGCATTATATGAAACAGAAAATATGGTGCACATTAATGTGGATGTTAAAAGAGATCACTCATAATGAAAAGAAAAAAACAAAAACAAAACAATCACCCATGAATGACAAAAACACTTGTGTCGTTCCAACTTTCTAATCTATTCTTTCTTCTGTGGAACACTAAAGGGAAAGTTCTGAAGCATGTTCTCACACTCACACTGCTCTTTTAATACAATAGAAGCAAATGTGAGAGCTACACCAGAGGGCAGGATTTTTATCGAGCAATGAGATACATTTCAATTTGTTGTCCACATATCGCAAGCACAAAAGTTTTCTGGACTACTTTTATGGTTGTATTTAGAGCTTGATAGCCTTTGGTCACTATGCTTTTGTTGTATGGGAAAGAGCAGTTTGGACATGTATACAAAAAATGTATACAGGTTTAGAACAACATAAGAGTGAGTAATGTAAATAATGGTGGGATTTTCATTCTTGGGTGAACTATTCCTTTAAGGAGAGATGATTTGTTATTTAGCAGAGCTGAGAGTGAAGTCAGGACCCGTGTGTGTGTGTTGTAATCTGAGCTTTTTTGTGAAGTTTTTCAGCAGCCACATAGTTACTGTATGTGAGTCCCTCCCTTTGAAACTGGTAACTGCGACCATAGATTTGTATAGGTAGATGCCTTGTTAACGGCTGTTCTGTGTTTATTATTTTAATAGTTAACTATTATAACCCTGCTCCCTTGTGACATCTAGTGGTTGAAAAATCTTATACGTGACCCTGGACCACAAAACCAGTCATAAGGGTCAATTTTTCGAAATTGAGATTTATAAATCAACTGAAAGATAAATAAATAAGCTTTCCATTGATGTATGGTTTGTTAGGATAGGACAATATTTGGCCGAGATACAACTATTTGAAAATCTGGAATCTGAGGGTGCAAAAAAAATCTAAATATTGAGAAAATCGCCTTTAAAGTTGTCCAAATGAAGTTCTTAGCAATGCATATTACTAATAAAAAATTAAGTTTTAATATATTTACGGTAGGAAATGTACAAAATATCTTCATGGAACATTATCTTAATATCCTAATGATTTTGGGCATAAAAGAAAAATCTAGAATTTTTACCCATACAATGTATTTTTAGCTATTGCTACAAATATACCCCAGCGACTTAAGACTGGTTTTGTGCTCCAGGGTCACATATAAGAGTTGGCGTAGCCTTTGATTTCCATAATATGAAAAAAAAAAAAAATACTATTGAAATCAGTGGCTACTGTCAATTCTTTGGTTGCCCACATTC